TGTCATTAAATTCTATATGAATTAAATTCATGTCATATAATTCTATATTATTAGCTAAGAATACAGTAAAACAATATGAATCTTGGCAGTTTTTAACAAAATGACATAATTATATATATATATTTATTTATAATATTATTTTTAAATTAGAAGTTAATGATGTTTGTTTTATTTAATTCTCAAACAAGGCTAAAATTCTGATTAAGATGATTTTTTGCAGATTTTGTTAATGTCATCATTGTACTTAAAGTCATTTTGGCACGTACATCCTAACCATTCCTCCATCTTTCAGCATGATGAAACTTTCTCTTTGGTGTGTCCGAGTGTCTGTCTTTAATTCTCCCTGACTGCTTCCTCTTTTCCTTGTGATATTTCTTGACACCTGCCTAACAGGAGTGAACTGTGAATCAGAACTATAGACTGACTTTGTGCTTGTGTCTCTGTGTCTGAAACACACACACACACACACACACACACACACATTGCATATGCCATGGTGTTAGTTTGTCCCTGTTTCCTCTGTTTCTCTGATCGTTATGCTCCTTCAGTGGTGCCTCAAAATGATTGGATATGACAAGTCATCAAAACAACTTCCACCTCATTTTGAATTACAAAACCTATACTTTCAAACCCTATAACCTTACAAAACCTAAATACTTTCATAGCGCACCACTTGCCAATCCAGAGCATACGTGCAGGCGGTTCAGAGAACCCGAGGGGTTTTGCTGTGCAGAAAGCCATTTCACTTGCTAAGCTTTGTGTCTTAATCATTCCTGAAAAAAGCAAATGATGAAACGTTTTTCACTTCAGATGTCTGCTGTGTCATTGATATATTGTTGCTGTCTGGAGTCCTGCGGCCACAGTATGAGATCTGCATTCAGATAGATGACTGTTTTCCAGTCTACAAAGAAAAAAAAATAGACATATCTTTAATTCTCAACAAAAAAAATGCATTTATATGATGTTCACAGTGGCTACTGAACATTTGACAGTCAGACCTCAGCATAATTAATAAAGGCCGCCGAACGCCAAACAGCGTGTCAGTCATTACTCTGAAAATGTTTGTATGTTTTTCAGAAAACACCAACAACAAAAAATCATGTTACTCTGCTGTTAAAGCCTGAAACAACTTTTATTTTGTCGATTTTGTTTTATAGATAAGTACTCTGTGTTGAGGGGTTAAAGCGGGCGTGGGAGAGAAATGCAAAATGCCATTTTTATCATCTCACACTTCCAGGTATCTGGCTCCTTGGACATAAAAGAAAAGAAAAAAAAAGAAAAAAAAAGAAAAACAACAACGTCTGTGTGTGCTGACTGTTTGTTTGTTGTCTTTTTCTACTCATTCCCCCACCTCTCTTGAAAACAATCTCTTCCCCATCCTGTCATATGCCTGCCTCATGTGTTGGGTCATCCTTTTGTATTTCCACAAACTCGCTCACAACACACACAGACACAAGCAGACGGACCGTCTGTGAGGCAAGACGAGCCATGTCATGAGCCGCAGACTGACATCATGCTCACACTCAGGCCGTCCTCCAATCACCTGTCACCTGCATGCTGCGCCACACCCCTCGACTCCAAGCTGAGACACACGTTCCCTATCCCGCAGCGAACTGTCTTCTGCCAGCACTGAGCTACACTCTTTCCACACTTCTCCAAGCCTCGAGCCCACGTAGGTTATGAAATCGGCCCCCGGCGGCGAATGCGCTACGATATGTTTTTGTACGAGCTTACGCAATCAAGCATTTACTGCTGAAAGAGAATCCACCCGGGGAGTTACGAGGAAGGTCGTTACCATTCATTTCCAAAAACCTTGAGATTTACGCTGAAATCTTTGCTTGGAAATGCAATAATGTGGGCGCTTTTTGATACCAGTCTTTTTTTTCTAGCCCACTGAGATCTATCTCTTAGTGCCAGGCCGCATGGAGACTAGACAAATTTGGCTGAGAGAATGCAGAAAGGGGATTCTGCAAACCTGACAGGCAGTTAATTTGAGCTGCAGCTTTGGAAGGGAGCAGCCCATACTCAAGACGTTTGCCCTGCAAGCTGGCGTTCGCAAAACTTCAATATTTATATTGGTGCTGCACAGCCAGACTAAAGTGCCTAATTTACTGTTTGTTCCCTGTGCAGCCATTTAACTGTAGAATGTTGCTTAGAGTAGGTATTAATCAGGAGGCCTGGAACTAGAAAAGTCTTAATTAGTAAAATAATAAACTAATTTTAGCAGGTAGAAGGTTGTTTAAATCAGTGGTTTTCAATCTAAGGGCCTGGACGAGAATGTTTTGATGGATAAATATAAAACTAATTGTAACGCGACCATCATTCTCATTTCTCTCCATTAAAACTGATAAAATATTGTGCCGAATCATAACATAAAATGTGTAAATGAAATATATTATTAATAATCAGCTACCCACTAGAGGGCCTCAGCAGACTTCTAATGGAGCATACAACACCATAGGTAAAATGTTAGATATTTTACTTTGCGTGTGTGTGTATATATACACAGTACCTAAAATATGTGTTGTATTCTGCAACAAATTAAATAATAGTAAATAATTTTCACATTTTAAATAATATTTTCATAATATAATATAATTTGTCCTGTAAACTAGCTTCATATAATAAAAAGAAAATGGTATCTTTATTTCAAAGGAGGTACAAAATTATTGTTTCAAATAGAGGCCCTTTAAATGTTCACTGTATTTAAATGCAGTTTATTTTTGTCTGACTGAAATTGTACTAGTCAGGCTTTAGTGAAGTCAGAATAAGAGACCTAAATTATGTGCCTGTACAGTAGATCTTCAAGTTGTAGGTCTGCATTTTTGCATTTTGCACAAACATCAAAAGACAAAGTTGACGTGCATGCACTGTGAAAAAAAAAAGTTTGTATTTTTTTTTAATTCTGTAAAATAACAGACATTAAATTACATAAATTTCCTTACATTTAAATTTCCGGTAAATTTCCTTCATTTAACGTCTGTTATTTTACAGTAAATTTCTGTAATTATAGGCCTTTTTTATGTTTTTTTTTTCAGCACCCCAGCTGCTGGAAAAATATAAAATAAATAACAGATTTTTTTACAGTGTATGTTTTTAATCTTTCAGGTACTTGATAACACAGAGATGTTGTAGCTCCTTTATAACTTGCATGAACAATTGAAAACTTGCAAGACTGAGAACCACTGGTTTAAAGATTTGAAAGTAGCGCTTTATCCATATACATGAATCACACCTTGTCTCATAAAAAATAATAATAATAATAATAAAAATTTATTATTCAAAGCACATCAGCGCATTTTGGAAAACACAAGATCCCTGGTTAGCTCAACAACACAAATCAAAGAACAGCCTTCCCACAATCCCGTTTCCTTCACTCCTATGTCCTTTTTAACACCACCTTCCACCAATGTGGTGGTAGGACGGGTACCTATGAACTGCTCCTTGATCTCCTGTCCCCACCAACCCAACCAGGTTCCCCATTGCCCCTTTTTACTCAGGGCCACGCTGCCTGCCACTGGTGGCTGGAATCAACAAAGTGCTTTAAGCTGGTCCAAAACAGAGGCTTTTTTATCACGGCAACAATGTCAGCCCACCTCACCTCGTGAGTTTGTTTATTTTTGTGTTTGTTTGTTTGTTTGTTTGTTTTGAACAATCTATCTTTTTTAGTTTTACACTTATACACTTTCTGACAAAATGTGCAAAATATTTACCTGTAGGAAACCAAAGATGTCCACTTAAGGCAGGGGTGTTCATACCAGTCCTGGAGGGGCACTGTTCAACCTCAACGCACCTTACTGAAAGTTTTGAGTTTGCCTAGTAAGAACTTGATTAGCCATGTTCGGGTGTGCTTAAATAGGGTAGGAGCTAAAATATGAAGCACAGTGACACTCCTGGAGCAGGATTCAACACCCCTGCTTTAAGGGTACTGTCCCAGTAATAAGCTGTTTTACCACTAAAGTCACTTTTCTTGCATATTTTGTTCTGAGGGTGTAGTAGTGCAGGTGCTCTCAACTCTGGCCCCTGAGGTCCACTTTCATGTAGAGTCTAGTGCTGCTCCTGGAAAACAGGTTTCTTGCAGGCTTTAGATCCAATTAGAGCCTGTTTGTAGTAGATGATTGTAGTAAGAGTGTCAATGTTTGTTGTTTGTAGATGTTTGTAGTAAGTGTGAAGACCTTGGTCAGCTTTTTCAGGTGTCTTTAGTAAGAGCTAAACTCTGCAGGACAGTGGACCTCAAGGACCAGAATAGAGTACTCCTAGTCTACTAGATTAAATTGTGCAGGAATGTCCAATCTTGCTCATGGAGGGCAGATGCCCTGCAGAATTTAGAATCAACCAGCATCTGCAAGTCTCATGTGAGTCTAAAGATCTTGGTTTCTGCAGGACAAAGGTCCTCCAAGAACAAGTTTGGACATCCCTGAACTACAGTTTTGTCAGAACCGTGGTTTCAGATGGATTGAAAGTGGACAGGCTTTGTAGACTGTATTTCCAAAACTCCATGTGTCACACTACATCGATGTTGTTATTAGTCCAAGAACAGTACTAGTTAAGACTGATGTATTTTCATTGCCATAGCTCAGTATGTTTCCCTTTTTGTACCTCTCCCCTCTTTTTCTGTCTTGCTAACTACGCAAATGCTAAAACCTCATCGGACCTGCTAAATCTCCATCAATTCCCACCCTCAACAATTATTTTTCTTTACCTCGAACTGCATCCAAACTTTCCTCCCATGTTATTTGTTCAACAACTCCCTCCATTCCTTTACCTGCATTTCCTCCCACACCACACACACATCCATTTCCCTGTTAACCACCTCACGCTGTCCCGCTTCACTAACCCATCCTGCTCTGTATCTGCTCTTACGATTACACACCCCTGCTCTTCACTTTACACCTCTTTTCTCCTCTGATCCTGTAACAACCTCCGCTCCTCCTCCTGTTCTTCTCTCCTTCCTTATTTCCCCCACTCCACTTTCCTCCTCCTGTTCTCCCTTCCTTTAGGACGATAAGGAGATCGACCTGGAGCACCTTCATCACCGGGTTAACAGCTTGTGCACGGAGGACGAGAGCCCCCACAAACAGTTCTCCACCTCCTCCATCGACCTGACGCCCCTGGACATGGATTCCCTCCCGGCTGCCCGTCAGGCCCTCGAGCAGATCAGCGACTTCCGCAACACACACATCACCACCACCACCTTCATACCCGAGCAGATCCAGACTCTCAGCCGGAGCCTGTCAGCCAAAGCGGCAGCTGGCTTCGCCTTCGGGGCCGTGCAGGACCACCGGACTGGGGGGCCCTTTCGGCAGAGAGCCCCCAACGGCGGCTTCTTTCGCAGCCCTGTCAAGACAATGTCTAGCATCCCGTATCAGCCCACCCCGGCCCCCAACTTTAGCTATGGCAACGACCCGGACAGGGGCACTTCCATATAGATTGCAGAGATTCCTGGGTCTGCAAGTCGGAAACAAAAAAGAGATCTATGTAAATACAAATGTTCCTTTTCGATTGTCGTTTTCTCATGGCTTTCGCTCTTCGCGATGGAGCTTGTTTGCCCAGAACGAACTCGCCAACAGGACGAGGATGGAATAAATTGGTCGTTATTGTCATTGTGGTTTGTCAGGAGATTTTCTCTGTGAACTAAAAAAAAATTGCCTTTTGTTTGCCACATTCGATTTTGTGTGAGAAAGAAAAAATAAGACTGAAATATTGCAACGATGATATATGTTTAACATTTGGTTTGAATTTAGTTTTCTTTCTTTTTATGGAAAAAACAAAAAGACTCTTTCCAGTGTTTCCCAGAACTGCAATAACTCTGTTTGGAAGAATCTTGTCAACTCATCGACTGAATTTCGCTTCTGCTCAGTGCTCCCTCTAGTTGAGACTTTGAACATGGCACTGCTAAAACTGAGAGAAACAACCTGCTTTTCTCGAAAGCCTCGCAAGCGAGAGACTGTGTTCCCAAGGAGCTCTCTGCCATCTCACTAAAAGTGAGATCTACAGTACCTTGAGTCTTTATACGAACACTCCGTGGAACAGATCTGACTGAACTTTAAAGTCAAAATTTAAAAAGTTATTATACTATAGGGAGGGATGAAACAAATGCTACTAAATGTCTCTTACTGACTTTAAGTATAACAAATCTTTAATGCGTGGAATGTGTCTGGTCAGAGAGTTTTAACAAGAAAAAATGTTCAGAGCTGTATGTAGTTTTAGTTTTCTCTCTCCCTTTTTTTAAATGATTAGTTTTGAAATTGCTTCAGTGCCATCATCTTACGTTAATTTGCACCATTAAACCATCAAGAGTTTGTATTCACTTCTGTAGCCATACTCTGGATTCAACGAAAACATTCTGTAGAATAGCTTCATTGTATATGCCACAATCTCGCAGTTGTGCGTCATAGATTTTGGAAATCAAAGAGTGTGAGAGTTTTTAAACAAATTCTTAACACGAGCCTTAGGAGATGGGGCTTTTTTTTTACTTTTCAAGGGTCAGTCCTCAACCTATTACTACGCCATCTGAAAACGCTGACATGGTGGCGACTTTTGAGGGGTTATTTGAAATATCTTTCTATTTCATTTCATAAATGTTAAGGGGTAATATTTATCTAACTTTTTTTTAAGTGCTAATTGTTTAAATGAGGCCATCAAGGTTTGGTAAGAGTCAATTAAAAGAAAAAAAATACACATTTTGAGGACAAAAACAACCAATCCTTTTCACTAACATAAACTGTATTAATATTTACTAATGTTAGTCGTTTAGAATGAGCTTTCAGTTTGTTATCCTCTGACTAATTCGCAAATGTTGTGTGTAGAAAACAGCAACAGTGTTTTGACGCAAGCATTCTAGATGTACTTTTCTTAAGATATGATTACTGGAAGACTATAGGAGCAATTTTATTTAGTATCAGTTTAAAGATTTTTATTTAGAGTAAACAAAGAGACATTAAAGTGTATATTTTACATGCAGATAATTTTTATGTTGGATTTAAAGAAGATATAGAGTATAATATCTGAGTCTGTTAAGCTCAGTTTAGCCACTATCACATTACAAGAAGTTCTCCATGGTTTCTCTGACGGTAAGGCATTCTCATTCGACTTCATTTCGTTTTCGATTTGTCAAAAAGGAGGCAAGGTTTGTTTTTTTTCCGTAAAAGAAGCATGCAAAACCTGCTATGCCTGTAACATTTTTAATTTCATACATAGAATTGTACAGGATTACATCATTTTCGACTGATTATAATGTACAGTATTTAATATAGGCCTATTTTGTTGTATGTGTTGCATATTATTCAAATGGAACAAACTGAGGCCTCTGTTACAAGTGGCAAAGCTTTCTGTGTATAATTTGTCTAATAAACATGTTTTCTACAGTGGTTTTTGTTGCGTTTATCTGTATCATCAGAAATGTTGAACAGACCCAATAACCTCAGGGTGAGCTCACCATCAATATGAACACAATGAAAGCTTTGGTCAAAGGTTAGTCACTGCTGGTGTTGGTTGGTCTTTGTGAACCGGATTCATGCACTACAGGTCAAAGTGAAAGGCACCACAGCATTTGAAGTCATGCTCTGATGCTTGGAGAGTTTGTCGCCACAAGTCTGACCCTGAACCAGACGTATAGGCCAAGTTCTTGTACGTGGGTTTATTATTGCTGTTGATTAAGAGTACACTCAAAAAAAAAAAAAAAAAAATATATATATATATATATATATATATAAACAAATTTTTTTTTTGCTCGTTTAAACTACTTATTTAAAATTAGCTAAAAACAACACAATTCTTGAGATTTCATTGGGACAACTTGATTTTTTTATGTTCAATCCACATACATTTGGTAAAAGTGTTAATTCATTTGTGTTGGGACAACATGAATGAATTGTGTGGAACCCTGTATTTTTTACAATGTATAATGTTTAGACATGGGTATAGAACTTAAAATGAAAGTAAATTTAACTTTATTGAACTCATAAAGAGATTTCTTAAATACATAGTTCAAGTAAAAATGAAAATTGTCCATTAAGATGATGACTTTTTGTCTCAAAGTTAAATGGTGAGTTATATAATAAAAGTTAGCAGCTTCTGTGTGTAAAAAAATATGTATACATATATGGAAAAACAAAATTAAAACTCATGGCTTTTGATGATACTGTATATTCAGCTCCTGTGAAGCACAGATTAGTTTGTGAAGCCTTTTATTATACTTTCCATGTCAATAAAAATGAAACGTGCACCTATTCTGGATGCTGCAACCTATCTCAAAAACAAAATTATAATACGTAAGTAAGGAATTGTTTTTTTTACATATTCCCAAAGTGTGTTTGTTGAAGTTTCATATTAAAATGTTAGAATGTTGTAAATAATGTTCATTTCTAACACCTTATTAATCACTTAGCTTCTTAAGGCTTTATATATCATCATGAGCCACAGCTATTACGTTGTGCCTGTATGGATAGTTTTTAATATAACTCAAAATGCTGATATTGACTTTCATTTTAAAGCATGACTTTCGAGCTGACTTTCATCACCAAAGACCACGATTTTAACCTAAAATTTTCTACAGAAGAGAAAAGTTAATTATTTCTTAGTTGACCTGAGGATGAGTAAATTAATACACTTTGGGTGAACTATCCCTTTAAAAACTGCCATACAGATGTAGTGTAGCTTTTAGGTAGACAATGGCTGTCCAAAATTGTGCATTCCCCTGAGTATAGCACTGTAACAAATAATAAATAAATTATATTAAAAAAATAAGTCATGACTAGGCCCATGCGGAATCTACATGTACATTTTTTTGCCTATTTAGCCTGTTTATTTATTTACTTGTGTAAATGTGTGTACATTTATATGTATTCAGTTTTTTTTATTATTAATTTCAAAAATATTACTGACATATGAAAGTATTCAGTCAGCACAGTGGCACAGTGGGTAGCACAATCGCCTCTGCAAGAAGGTCGCTGGTTCGATCCCCAGCTGGGCCAGTTGGCATTTCTGTGTGGAGATTGCATGTGGGTTCACGTAGGGTGCTCCGGTTTCCCCCACAGTCCAAACACATGTGGTATATGTGAATTGAGTTAGCTAAATTGGCTGTAGTGCATGTGTGTGAATGGGACTGTATGGATGTTTCCCAGTGATGGGTTGCAGCTGGAAGTGCATCAGTTTTAGGTTAATTTAGCTTAAAACAAATGACCAAATTTTAATTTATGATTATTTTAAAAGATTTATTTATTTATTTTTTTTGTAAATTTTATTCAACAAACAAATGTAAAGCAAACACTATTTATTTTCACAGTGTACTTATATTGATTGTTTAATATGCATGTCCTATTGTCTTTTGGACTACTTTTTGAAGTCAGACATGCTTCTCTTGTCACATTCTGTTTTTACTTGCAGGGAAACATTTTTGATTCAGCCAAACAGTTAAAATCTACAGCATTATTTGCATTTCATGTTCCACGGGAGGCAATTTCCACATGAAAACAGTGATCATTCAGATTTGCTGTTTGTACTGCTATTTGTAAATAGCAACAATGTTTCTGAAATAAATTACCACTTGTTGTCGGTAGGTGCATTACATGTCCACTAGATGTCGCCTTTGTTGTCGTTTCAGTAGTTTTCGCTTCTGAACAGCTGTAAAGATGCTGCTCAAGTGCGCACCTGTTCCACTATTTGCAGAATCTGTGATTTTATTTTAGGTAGCGTGTATAAAGGAAAACTGTCAGTCACAATAAATGCTTGTAGATATACAGTCTATAATCCATTCATGTAATCTCATAAAGTGGGCATAATATAAATATTTTTTTTTTCTATGAGAAAGGACTTTTGTAACAAAGATGGCAAATGCATATATTACACATTTTCTATTAATGGAATGGCTTAGACATTAGTAATAATAATAATAATAATAATAATTATTATTATTATTATTATTATTATTATTATTATTAGACTTGCTTGAGGAACTCTAATATACTTTTATCAAGCACGCGATATCGTTGTTTCCCGGGAGACAGGAATGAAGAAAGCAGCACGCAGACTCGATTGCAATGGAAGCCCCCATCGAGACACATTTTGTGCCCTTTTTCCAAAGAGTTCTTCAGGCGTGTCGAATGGAACATTGAGTCTCTATTGTCCCGGGGACACTTTAATAATCGACGGCAGCAATCCTAACCTGTTGTTTGCTTTAGGAACTATTCCAAGACACACAAGCCGCCTGGATGAGGCTCCAGTTGGGGTGAAGATCAGGCGCCAGTCCGCAAGCCTATGCGCTCTATGAATTCATGAATAAGTGTAAAGAGACTAATGTGGAGATTTTAACGCCAGAAAACACGAATTAAGGTCTATAAATTCTTGTTTCGCTGACAGAAAAGGAAATACAGCGGTAAACCGGTGTCACTAAAGTTTGTCTAATACAATTTGTTGTCTGCACATCGTCCGGTGTTATACCAACTGCATGTTTTTCACTCTTTATGGTTTTATTTTAATAGCCTAACGAAGAAAGGCATTTTGGAAAGACATAATACAATGAATTTTATTAAAAGTAGTTTTTTTTTTTTTAACTAACCTAGATTTTCGATGGCTTTATAGTTCATAAAATAATAATTTTAAGTAGACCTGTCTGTCAAAAGGACGTAGGCTATTTATTATATTT